GCAGCTCATCTGCGACCCCAGCTACGTCCCGGACCGGGTGAAGAAAATGGGCAAGGTGATCCGGGTCATCTGCATCCTGAACCACCCCATCCGGAACACCAACGACGCCAACTCCTGCCAGATCATCATTCCCCAGAACCAAGTCAACCGGAAGTCGGGTAAGACGCAGGAGGAGCAAATACGGCTCTCGGGGGGGGGGGCGCGGCGTGGGGAGGAATCTCTTGGCCGAAGCCGTGCCCGTTTGGCGGCTTTTGTCTCCGTGCCTTCGTGTGTGTTTGTGAGGTTTTTTTGCCACCCTTTGCGTCTTTTATTTTATTTTGTTTATTTTTTTAAAGACATCTACGTCTGCATGATCTCGTCCGCCCACAACGTGGCGGCCCAGGGCAAGTACATCGCCATCGTGAGCACCACCGTGGAGACCAACAATCCCGACAAGGAGATCAGGCCCGCCATGGACCTGCTGGAGCCCATTGAGGAGAAGTAAGGCCACCCGCTGGGTTTGGGGCGAGTTGGGGGACTCTGCCCCACACACACACATACACACACCAGTCTGGGGGATTGTGGGAGTTGAAGTCCACAGGCCGAGGGGGAGAAACACCCGAGGCTCAGTCCTCTGTGGCGAAGAAAGACGACACACCGCAAGGGATGTCCAGCTATAGCAGCTTTAAGACTTGGGTCCCAAAGGTGCCTTTAAGACTGGTGGACTTCCAACTCCCAGAATTCCCCAGCCAGCTATGCTGGCTGGGGAATTCTGGGAGTTGGAAGTCCACCAGTCTTACAAGTTTGCCAAGAATTCTGGGAGTTGGAAGTCCACCAGTCTTACAAGTTTGCCAAGAATTCTGGGAGTTGGAAGTCCACCAGTCTTACAAGTTTGCCAAGAATTCTGGGAGTTGGAAGTCCACCAGTCTTACAAGTTTGCCAAGAATTCTGGGCGTTGGAAGTCCGCCAGTCTTACAAGTTTGCCAGGAATTCTGGGAGTTGAAGTTTGCCAGGAATTCTGGGAGTTGGAAGTCCGCCAATCTTACAAGTTTGCCAAGAATTCTGGGCGTTGGAAGTCCGCCAATCTTACAAGTTTGCCAGGAATTCTGGGCGTTGGAAGTCCGCCAATCTTACAAGTTTG